ACCTTATCCCCAACAGCAAACTCAACTTCCCTGCGATGCTCATCTGTTCTCTCCTTCATGAGCTGCTGAGCCTTGTGGATGTTGCTTCTCAACAGAGCTATTACCCCATCGCTTCCTTCAACTTCTCCTCCAAATCAGCGTTGTTTGTTGACCCATTCTCGTAGTTAAGCAGCATTGGTGGCTCTCTCCCGTAAACTGCCTTGAACGGGGTCATTTGTATGGCTGAGTGGAAAGAGGAGTTATAGCAAAGCTCTGCCCATGGTAGGAACCAAGCCCATGTCTTTGGCTTGTCGCTGGCAAAACAACGCAGATACGTCTCGAGACCTCTGTTTGTAACCTCAGTTTGCCCGTCTGTTTGTGGGTGGTAGGCGGTACTGAGGCACAATATAGTACCTGAGAGACGGAACAACTCTCTCCAGAAATGACTCGTGAAGACCTTTTCTCTGTCGGAGATAATGGTCTTTGGAAATCCGTGGAGCTTGACCACCTCTTGTACGAAGATAAGGGCCACGTCTTTCGCAGGAAAGGGATGCTTCAGACCCATGAAATGCCTGTAATTCGAAAGCCGATCTACCACCACCAAAACAGCGTTGAAACCCTCAGAGTGTGGCAATCCTTCCACGAAGTCCATGGAGATGTCTTCCCAAATGGCAGAAGGGATAGGCAGTGGTTGCAACAGTCCGCTAGGCCCCAGTGTAGAATACTTGTGTCGCTGACACGTACTTGCGGATGTCAGTCATCATCCCCTTAAAGTAGAATAGTTCCCCAATTCTCTTCTGCGTCTTAAGGATTCCTCAATGTCCTCCTAACTTCCCAACATGGAGTTCTGCCATTATTATGCCAATCAACCGAGAATCTTTAGGCACCACAAGCTTCCCCTGCCTCAACAAGCGCCCCCGAACCAATGAGTAGTCATTATGGCTGCTCGGGTCCTGCGTCAACTCCCTTATGATCTTGTTGAGCTCGGGGTCCTTGTCAACTTCACTGCAGATCTCCTCGAGCTGTATTGCTGCTGGTACTGAGAGAGCGTAAAGCTGCGTGACACTACCACAGCGAGAGAGTGCATCTGCCGCTTTGTTCTCCATCCCCGGTCGGTATTGAATATCAAAGCCGAACCCCACTATCTTGGTTAGTCACCGTTGATAATCCAAGTTGATCTCCCATTGCTCGATAAGGAACTTCAAGCTCTTTTGGTCAGTGCGAACCAAGAACCTCCTTCCCAAGAGGTAATGGCGCCATTTCTGTATGGAAAACACAATTGCCATCAGCTCCCGCTCATACACCGACTTGAGCTGTTGTCTTTCCAACAGGGTTTGACTGAAATACGCTAGGGACCGTTGGTTCTGCATCAACAATGCGCCTAATCCCACCCCCGAAGCGTCGGATTCCACCACAAACTGTGCTGTGGTTTCTGGTAAGGCCAGCACGGGCACCATAGTCATCGCTTCCTTCAGTCTCTGAAAGTCTGCAGTGGCTGCATTCCCTCAATTGTACTGCTCCTTTCGAAGCAGAGTAGTCAGGGGTTTGGCAATTTCCCCATAACCTTGCACAAACTTACGGTAGTACCCTGTAAACCCCAAGAATCCCCTCAGCTCCTTCACGCTTCAAGGTTGAGGCTAATCTACCATTGCCTTGATCTTATCGGCATCAGCTGCTACCCCATCTGCTGAAATCACGTGCCCCAGGTACTCGATGCGATTACTCCCAAACTGACACTTCTTCCGGTTTGCGTAAAGCTGCTGCTGACGGAGGACTAGCAGCACCTTACTCAAATGTTCTTGATGCGTCTGCTCTGTTTGACTGTAGATGAGGATGTCATCAAAGAACACAAGCACGAACCGTCGCAGGAAAGGTCGAAAAACATCATTCATCAGGGCCTGGAATGTAGCTGGAGCATTCGAGAGACCGAAGGGCATTACGAGGAATTCGTAATGACCATCGTGAGTGTGGAAAGCTGTTTTCTGTACATCTTCAGCCTTCACGAGGATCTGGTGATAACCCGAACGGAGATCCAGCTTCGAGAACACCGTGGCTCCGTGTAACTCGTCCAGAAGTTAGTCAATCATTGGTATGGGGTCGCTGTCGGTGATTTTTGCCTTATTGAGAGCCCGGTAGTCGACAGAGAACCTCCAACTCCTGTCCTTCTTCTTCACCAGTAATACCGGACTCGAATAGGGGCTTCCACTCTCACGGACGATTCCGGCTCGAAGCATAGCTGTCACCTGCTTCTCTATTTTCTCCTTCTGCATTTAAGGATATCGGAATGGTCTGACACTGATCGGATTAGTGCCTGATTGTAGCAATATCCGGTGCTCTCTCCCTCATGACGGCGGCAATCCCTAAGGCTCATCGAACACGTCTTGGAACCCCTCGAGGACTGCGACCAGATTCTCCGGTACCGGATGTGCTTTGCTCAACTCCGTTTGTAGCCCGAAGAATTCCACAATCATCCCCTCACCCTGTCTCTCCCATGCCTTCCACAGGGCCTTCAAGGAGACGGCGGAGCTACAAAGACTCGGATCCCCTTGTAACGTAATCGTTCGTCCTCCTTCCTGGAACTTCATCGTCTGCCGCTTCCATTTATTTTGGGTATCACCCAACATCTCCAACCATTGGACTCCGAGTATCACGTCATCTCCCCCAAGCCCCAGAGAGAAGACGCTCCCTTTCAGTCGGTACCCCTGCATGTCGAGCTCGACGTCTTTACAGATCCCCTTCCCCCTCACGGTGATCCCTGCGCCGGTTAACACGTCCCCGTGGTCTCCGTCGTAAGTCCCAATCGGCTCACGACCAAATCGCTCAGGAAATTGTGCGAGGCTCCGCTGTCGATGAGTACCATCACCGCTAGACCCTGGATGGAACCCAGCAACTTGATGGTTCGAGGAGAGGAAATCCCGGCCATCAAGTTGAGAGACAGCTCCGCGAGCTCCGTAATCTCCTCTGCATGCTCCTCTTTAGTCTCTTCGTGATCCTCTTCCCACTCATCTTCCCTTCCGTCGTCATGTATTATTAACACCTTTAGCTCCGCCTGAGCACAACCGTTGTTTGTACCCGTATTTCTCGTCGCACCAGAAACAGAGTCCCTTCGCCCTCCGCTCTGCTATCTCCACCGGTGTCAAACGTCTAAATGGGAGTTTCTGACCGTCATGACTCTTTAGGTTATGTCCCGTTGGACCTTTGTATGAACCTGGTTTATTGTTTCTAGGGTAGTTGGGCTTGGGCCTGAAGTTGGGCCCTCCTTTCTCCGATAGGCCCGATCTGTTACCACTTGGGGTGGCCCGCATCCCCGATGATCGAGAATCCCCAAACCCTTCGCCGGAACCCACGATCGACCGGGAACTTCCGTAATCTTCCCAGTCATCCACTATATTGGCCAAACTCATCATCGTATCCAGGTTGTGGGGCCTGAGCATTGTGACCCCCAACCGGATCTTGGGGTCGAGGCCGTTCATGAACGCCATCTCCAACACCTATTCTGACAGCTCCAGGGCGTTGGAGGCCAACGCGATGAAGTCCCGGCAGTAATCGTGCACCGTACCTTCCTGTTTCATCCGGAGGAGACACGCTCCAGTTGAGGAGTTAGGTGTCGCCGCGTGGTGATTAAGGATTTGCATCTTCATCTGTTCCCAATTAAGGAAGGGGTTGCGATCCCTTTCCCACCTGTACCATGCTAACGCGTCATCGACGAAACTTATCCGTACGGTGCGGAGTTTCTCCTCCTCGGTGAAGCAACACAGCTCAAAGTATTGCTCCACTCTCAGAACCCATGTTTCTGCGTTGCTTCCGTCAAACTCTGGGATAGTCATCTTCTTCGTGAGCGAGTCGTCCCTCTCCGTCACCGGCTCTCTGTTTTGACTGAGCAGGGTTCCGGATCCCACTGGCACAACGCGCTCCTCTCCTGATCGCGACTCGCTGGACGAGGCGCTCAACGGGCTTGAGTTTTCCGTTGGTGCCATTGTTTCCTTCCCCTTCCCACGATCCATCTCCTCCACCTTCTGTTCTCTGAGTTCGCGCATCTGATCTTTCATCTCTCCCATGTTCTGCTCCAACACGATCACTTTCTCGAGAGTTACCATCATCGCCTGGAGCTGATCAAATACCTACTCCATATCGGTCTGCTCGTCATCCTTTTATGCTCGCGGAGGCATGATTTCCTGTCAATCGTCTTGCTTTGATTACCAAATTGTTACGTGTAGAAATAGAAACTGTTGTAAACAATCGAAAATATAAATAAGTTCTTTTTTATTGAATGATTGATTTCTGTGATTACAGAGAAAGAGAACCAAACAATAGAGAAAAACCTTCTCTTTCTAATCCCACAATCTGATCAAACAATTTGATACCCTCACACTTTCCTCACCCTCTCTTATTTAACGAATCCCGAGTGGATTCTCTCTAACGGACTCTGCTGTCACCTTATTTGCTGCGCCTGTGACAGTCCCACGTGTCCTCACACCTCACAAATATCTACACAACTCTTCTAGAACGTCACTATCCAAAAGCCCATCTCTTGCGCATAAGACGGCCCTGCTGTTGCTGCTCGAACTAAGCACGTGTAAATTTGGACCTTCGCTTCTAAGTGTAGAGCAAAAGTGGTCTCTGGCCCTCCCACGTATCACTTTATAACAACGTCTCCTCCTGGTTCAACTGGATATAGACTGGTGAACTGATGTTTTTAGATTGCATGTCATAGGTCACATGTTTCTGTATGTTTTTGCATTATATATAGATTTGCTTGTCTTGCTTTCTTTCCTTCAGTTCCTGATTCTTCGTGGACTTCCTTTTCTTGAAAGAACAGCATCCCAAACTCCACACTTGGCTACTGGGAGGACGGGGAAGCATTTGTTTCTGGTGGATAACGATGACGAGAATCCTCCGCTCCTTATCCAGATGGCTACAGATTCTTGCAACTTAAAATTCATGTAAATGCTTCTCTGCCACTGGTTTATTTTCATTGCTGACTTGAATATTGAGTTTGTACACTACTCATCTCTACTTTAATGACCTTCAACAAATCAGCTTTAAGTGCTTTCAAGCGACGAGTGGCATATGCAAACGTGAATTTTGACTGTATCCTTTCCTGAATAAAGCATGGGGTTAAGTAGCAACTGTCACTGGTTTTTCCGCTTTTATTTCATTTCTTTCAAGAGACAAGAGTGTTTGCCTTCCACTAACTACAAAGACATTGTTGGCTGGAGGACATCTTCAATTCGCCGTCCAAATGAGCTCCCAAAGGTATCTATATTAGAAATGTCACATTTACAACTGATTTTATGCGGAATCTGTGATTTTATCAGTAATCCTTATCAATTCTCATCTTCCATCCAAATCTTCTAGCAACTGATCCAAATTATCCGCACATTGTATATGTAGAGCAAGGAAACGTGGACAATGCTAGATGCCAGTCAACTTCTACAGTAGTATCAGATGAAAAGGTTTGCTCAATATTTCACTTGTTTTTTTTAGGACTAGCTAGAATTTCTGCAAATGCATTGATTCACACCTCACTCTCTATATAGCCCATTGGTCTTTTTTATATCTGTAGCATGACGCTATTATTGTTTTTGTTTTTTTGTGTGGAATATGAAGGAAATGTTACACGGACTCGGTCAACTATCCTGGGAACAAGTTGATGTAAGCTTTCACAATAGCAAGCAACGATACGTAGCACATAATACCATTCAGACAAGTTTAATACTTGGTACTTTTAAACTCAGTAGGGGTTTAATTAACAGCAAAATTACAGAGTGGTTATGTAACGTGTAGGTGAAGATATATTGGTTACATTCTGATGGTAATGGTAAAGATGTTGTCTTCCACATGATAGATCATTTCTGTCTCTAGCCCCCAATATTTTCAACCGCTGCAATTAGTCAGCACTGTAAGATGGCGTCAAGCATTACAACCATCTTCTTGTTTCGGGCCCTGTATATATATCGTTTTTAGTATGATGCTTGATGCGATACAAATCATAGTTAAGTTCTTGCGAGTTTACCTTATGGTTATTTTGTAATGTATTTTATTCTGTCCAATGATGAATCTGTACAGATATACTCGTTCTTTGTAAAACTTTTCATCCTTAATTCTCTTGCTATAACCATCCTTAATGAAATTAATGGTTCTTTCTTTCAGTTTAAGATTGTGCTCTGTTAGGAGGACCGATCTGTTCAAACTGATCTATCAAAAGGCCTAAAGCTAACCTATCCTTTTTTAGTATTAACAAATTTAGCAGCCAAAACTTATTTTTGTGAAGATTTTAAAATGTTCTGAGAAATTTGTTGAGGTCAGAGACAGCAAATTCTGTTTTGATCTATAAATTTTAGCGCCAATCTTTATATTTTTAGATGACATTAAAAAGAACATTGTTGTTGCTTACAATTACAAAAAAAGTATGTACCTCCTAATTAGAAATTATTTGACTGTAGAATTAAACTTCAAAACCAATTAAAGGGATAAGGAGGTGTTATTGGTTCTTGTATTTTAATGGATTTGAGAATCCAAACCAAATTCAGTGTTATTGGTTCTTGTATTTTAAAATTTATATTGAAATACAATGTTATTGGTTCTATGATTTTAAAATCCATAATGAAATACAGTGTTATTGGTTCTATCATTTTAAAATCTAAGTATTATAAGAATTTTAGTTTTAATTGAATTTGAATGGATTTGGAAGGATTTTCATGACTAAAATACAAAGACTCAAATACAAGATCTAACCTTGAAATTTGAGTGGATTTGATTTTTTTCCATTTTGCTGATTTTGAAATCAATAAATTTATCAAATCCAAAGAAGATTTATAAATCCACCAAAATACAAGAACCAATAACCCCTACTTAGATTATGAAAGACAAAAGGTCAGGTTTTCTATACATTTTTATTAGTTTTAGTCTTTGTAGGGGTTATTGGTTCTTGTATTTTGGTAGATTTATAAATCTTCTTTGGATTTGATAAATTTATTGATTTCAAAATCAGCAAAATAGAAAAAACTCAAATCCACTCAAATACCAAGGTTAGACCTTGTATTTGGGTCTTTGTATTTTAGTCATGAAAATCCTTCCAAATCCATTCAAATTCAATTAAAACTCAAATCCTTATAATATTTAGATTCTAAAATGATAGAACCAATAACATTGTATTTCATTATGGATTTTAAAATCATAGAACCAATAACACTGTATTTCAATATAAATTTTAAAATACAAGAACCAATAACACTGAATTTGGTTTGGATTCTCAAATCCATTAAAATACAAGAACCAATAACACCTCATTTGTGTCACCGAATTACTTAACAAATACTGTTAATACTAATATTCGTTTTAATATTAAGATTTCTATTTCTTTAATCTTTTTTGTAAACCTAAGTTATTTGTTTTTAATATAAAATTATTAAAAGAAATTATTCTTCTTTTTTACAAGCTTAAAACAAAGAAATATAAGGAGAATTTTATTATGAAAAAAAAAATTAAATAAAAATAACAATTAAAACTATAAGCGAAAAGTGTATATATTAATTTTAACAATATTTATATAATCAACAACTTTAAAACTATTTAATCAACATATTTAAAATAAAATAATATAATTACAAATCTAAAAATATATAAATAAATTATAATTCTGCTTGTACACGTGGATTTTCACATAGTAGATCTAATAATTGAGTGATACCATCTTACACAAAAAAACAATTAACATTCTATATCCTCTATATCAGTAAATGATATGTAGAACATGTGTAACTAATGCAATTTATTTAATAATATTTATTTTTAAGATGATTTTAATTTTTATTGGACACTTGTTACTTCTTCCAAATGAATCAATTTTGGATTCATGAGGAAGAACGTTTATTATGTTAGTTAAGTTGATTCATCGTTAATGAGGATGATTCATGCAAGTTTCCTTTATGTTCTAATTTTCTCTCACTTACTCTTTCAAGTTCCACTCTCCACCTGAGATTGAGGATGGCCAAACCCTGTTTAGTTCACAAAAATCCATGTCTTTATACTAGGCAGACAAAGCCACTAGTGAACAATTTTCATCTGAAAGGTACTCTTAGCCATCAGAAAACTATGGCAACTGCTCCGAGAACTGGCGAATCAAATAATATGGTGTATTGGTGTAGAAGTAATTATCTAACCTTAATCTGATTGCATTACCAAGTTTGTTGTTCATACAGGAAAATAGCTGCTACTCTTACTAATTGCGTAATACATGATTTTGGGTTTATAAATCGCTTACATTGACCAAAAGTATAAAAACACAAATCTGACTCTTCCATTTTCATTTTACACGATTTGCAAAAGGTTTTTGCCTTGATTATATATAAATTGTTATTTTTTTGGGTCAACTGACTTATTAGTGAAAAACTTGGAGAATAATCCAAGCATGAAACCACAACTCTAAACTACCATCGTGTGACTGGGCATGTATTATTCATTTCCCAAAATAAACTAGAGTCATATCCAACGTTCATCTCTCTCCCGACAAGGTTCCCACTTACTTGAATTCATTGGTTAATATCATATCCTTCCTGCCTCAATCTTTCTTTTTTTACAGAGAATTTGAATTCATCACCAGATATACTATTAACGTATCGTCAGGTTAACTCCATTTAAATGAAAAATGCGAGATGAATTTGAATTTTTTGCTGTTTGTTTAAAACAAATCGAGGTAAAGCCAATGACGAAATTACATGAAAGATCTCCGCAAAGCAAATCAATACCAGATTCTATTGACCTTTTATGGTTCTCTAGGTAATACAAATTGTTTAAATGTTATTTTTTAATTTTTTTTTTTTAAATGTTGAGTTCAAGACTACATACTTTGTTCTCAGACTGCATAATTTTGGAAGTTTTTTTTTTTTTTCGTTTTATGGTTTTACAAAATTGTTGTCTTTCTTATAGATACTGAATTTTGAACTATAAATGCATAGTTGCAGTTTCTGTCTCTTGTCCTTCATCTTAATGATGTTTAGAGATTAGTACTCTTCCAAATCAAATAGAAACAGAGATCTCATCTCTATTGGTGAGAGTTCATCATGAATGGTGATGGATCCATCGAGATGACCCGCAAGGTCATAATCGTCGAGTAAAGCATGGATCTGAAGGCTCCACATGAGATAGTTTGTTGTTGTGAGTTTCGAGACATTAGACATGTTGATGGTGAGAAGTGTGTGATGGTTGATAATAATGGTTTCCGTGACTTTAGACGGAGAGGTGTTAGCGGAGGAATTCATGTTGAAGAGGAATATAGGTAAACATAAAAAAAAATTGATTTTGTTTTTGATATTTCTAGATCACAGTTCTGATACCATGTAAAAATGTATATTGTATGTATCTAATGTTTACAAGACAGAGGAATGTATACATAGGAAGTAGTAGGGTTGTACACACATAGAGTTATTGTAAACATATTCAGTTAACATAAATAGAATGATTGTGTAGAGTAATCAGAAATTTGATTATATGACCAATAGTAATCGCATATCTCCCGCATGTCCATTGAAGATCTGCCAACTTGTATCTTCAATATTTTTTCATTTTTTTTTGTCAAACCATTTCTTTCATTGAAAAACCTTAAACCGGGTTAAACCAAGAGTTTAAAGCACTCTTGGCTAAAGTATCAGCCGTCGAATTGGCTTCTCGTGATACAAATACAAAGGAAATTGCAGAGAAAAGGGTCAAGAGTGAAATGATATCGTTGATGATACCGTGGAGCTCCATCTGCGGAGTCTCCGAGGTGATGGCTTTTATCACTTTTTGTGAATCTGAAGCTAAACAAATTTTGTTGATACCCAGATCATGGGCTTGTTGGAGAGCAAGAAGGATCGCCGTAGCTTCCGCCATGAGAGGTGATCGGATGTTGCATGCGGTCGAGGAGGATTTACGGAGCTATGGTCTGTGATTTGTCTTTATGATCCAGCCAAAAACCTGCTGCTTTTGTAGATTCTCTCCATGCTGCGTCAAAGTTGATTCTCGCCGTGTCAAAATCGATCTGATGGGGGAGCTGTTGGGGGTTAACCAGAGGGACTCTTGACGCTCTTAATTGGGCATCCTGCCATTCCCGCGCTGATGATATTGCACGCTGGATACACTCGGAGGGAGGAGTTGGTGTGGATTCAAATTTCAGCTTATTCCTTGCTAACCAGACATACCAGGTGATCCAAGGGGCAAGAGGGGTTTCCGTAAGGCCCAGCAGAGGGAGGTTGATATTGTTTTTCAGCTCTTCAAGGCCCTGCCGGAAGCTAGTGAGCAAAGATGTCTGCAGTGGGGTTTTGAGGGGAGCAAGGTACCATAACTCTTTTGCAAAAGGACAGTGGAAGAAGGAGTGTAAGTCCATTTCTTCTTCATTGCATATAGAACAGTAGCTTTGGATATCGATATGTCTGTCTCGTAGGTTTGCTCCTAGTGGTATAGCTTTGTGCGTGGTCTTCCAGAGAAAAAGTTTGATCTTAGGGGCGTACCTGATATCCCAAATCTCAGATTTCCACTTGAAGCCTAATGTAGTTGGTTGTTGATAGTCCCATGGTTGTTCTATAGAGGCTTCATAGTATCCTGATTTTATAGAGTAGATGCCAGTTTCAGAGGCTAGCCAAACATACTTGTCTTCTGCTCCCCGTTTACTCGGTTTTAACTCTCTGATCATATGAGCATAGTTTGGTAGGATCTCTTGGACTAGCCCCATATTCCACTCCTATGTTTCAGGAGATATTAGGTCCTCAACTGTGAGGTGTTGGAGCTGCCCAGTAGGAGGTCCCATATGGGCCAAAGGGTAGTTTAAGGATATCCATGGGTCACACCAGACATTCGTTGAGGCTCCATTCCCTATGACCTTACCC